ACCCCAACTGCTTCTCCTTTTCAATGGGTCCCAGACCACCCAGGGTATCCATGACAAGACCGATGTCGAGTTGGATTCCTTGCCGTCCAGCCTCAAGAGCAGGTAGACCTGGACAGCTGAAATTCAGCTGAAAAATCATTTTTGCAAAAATGTTCCAGCAGTTCAGTTCATCGTCCTCATGTTTTAGCAACATGTCGTTTTTAAGTACCTTCTCGTCCACAGTGGGGTTTGCTGTGATCGACTGGAAACTTCGGTAATAATGAGGAAAAACCAAGCAAATCCACCTATATTAATATAAATCACCAAGTATACTAGAAGCGACTACTTCCGTAAAAACACTAAGACTGTCCAAGGCCTGAATCACTGGCCAAGCCTCAGCAAACGGCAGGTTCTTTTCAACACGGGCATACCTGGTTCACATGAATTCCTCTCATCTGGACTCAATTTCCAACGCCACCTTTGGACAGTCATGCGCTTGATGGACGTCTAGAATCTAGGATCTAGAATCTAGAAAAACAAGCGAACCTGCCAATTACAGCTCAATACTGGCCATCGACCACCAAAGAAGGCAGTAGTATACCGTTGGGAGAAAAAAATACATACACAAACACGTTCCTGCCACCTGCCCAAAGCCCACCCACGCACACCAGCGAAAAAACATCATCCACAAAGGTTCTCATCTTATCTGATCTCGAAACTGCAAGTTAGCTCTTCTCTTGGGTGCCCAGCATAATATGGAGGCTGCTCGAACTGCCGCAAGCACAGAGGTGCTGGATGCTGTGGGCTCACCTCGGGACATGGAACCTTCAGCATGAGGAGAACGATATCAGTCTACATGCATCTGGCCGGTGGACCTGTAGGATGGTCGCCGAAAAAGTAGAGTTAGTTTTTCGCGGTTTTTTGTTTTTGATGGCTAACCGACTTCGCCATGTCTGTGTGTGATGTGGCCGAAACTGACACCAATATTTTCTGAACAAAATCGTCGAAAACAAGGCAGGGATGGCCTATTTGTAGGGGAAATGCAGAGGATCTCTGAAGCAATTGTAAGATTGTCGTCTTAAAGATATACTGTAGCTGTCCACAACAGCACGGACACTGCCAGGAAACATGCCCAAACACCTTGAGGGGGAACTTGGATCAGGGTCAGTCCAATTGCAGCCCAGGCAACTGCAATTTTTTTTGCAACATGTGGCCGTTCAAATGTACAAGGTTCTTGTATGGAGATAATGTGCTACAGTATTACATCACAATGTACATACAAGGTATAGAGTACACTCAGCCGCGGAAGTCACGCCATACTAGGAAAAATTTGCGTTCCCCAATGTAAACGCGATGCCAAGAGGGGGGGTCCCGGCATAGTCCTTGCAAAAACGTTGTTCCCGCATGTAAACGCGATGATTTTTGAATGTTTTTGGTGTGCTCTCCCCAACACAGTTCTCATGTATTTAAAACCAGGTTCCCGCATGTAAACGCAATCATTTAGAATGTCACTTAGCCATGCTGTGCAAAAACGAGGTTCCCGCATGTAAACGCGCTGATTTGGCAATGTTTTGGATGTGTTCTGAAGTTCCATCCAAAGCACAATTTTCATGTGTTCACAACAAGCTTCTGGCATGGAGCCGCAATGATTTAGCAATGATGTTAATCTCCTTATGGTCCCTTGACATCTCTTTGGACCAGGCTCTGGGCACTTTACTTGAATCACGCAAGTTGCATAGAGGTATCGGAACGAGGATGAACGAGAGGGTGAACGAGGTCAAATCCCGTGCCACCAAGGAAAGCCCTCAGAATGAAAACCTCTACTGTAGTTACCTCATAATATATATTGCTCTCGCGCCTGTCCTTCTTTCTTTGTTTCTTTTTGTCCTTCCTTCTTTCTTGTCTCCCTGCTTGTCTGCTGTGATCGGTGCTTTGTCTGCCGCTGCTGCCTTGTCTCCTTACTTGTTTCCCCACCTGCCTCCCCACTCGCCTGCCTGTGCGGTCAGCGTTTTGCTTGATCGTCGTTTTGTTTGCCGCTGCTGCCTTGTCTTCTCCCCAACTAAACGCAACATCGCCACGACTTCCATAGATTCAAATCCCCAAGTAAGCTTCAAGAATTGAATGTCGCCACGACTTCAACATTTGAGAGTACACGGCGACCAAGGCACCAAACATTGCAGTTGCAGGTGCCAGTGCAGTTGCCAATTGGTACTGATCATTGAGCCCCTTTAGCCTTTAGGGCCACCTTCCGCCCAGCGCCGAGTTTGATGTCTCTGCTGGGGGCACGTGGAAGACTATGACGATTGCAGTGATTGCAGACAAATTGTCCATACTCTTCATTTTGTCTGCCTTCTGCACCAGGGTCTCCACCGCGGTGTGGGGAGACTGCACTCCGGCTGTCAGATGGGAACCATAGACGCGAATTCGCCCCATTGCCCCAACCACCACTAAGTTAGTCTGAAATGGCCCATGGGCATCATGGGGACACAAAACCGAAACCTAGCTGGAAACACGGTGAAGCATGCTTTGCACTTGCAAGACTTCTCTTCAGCTGTCGCCTTATCGACAGCACAGCCTCCTGGTTTGTCAGGCCCCCATCGAATATTCCATCCGAAGAGAGAACACCGCCGTCTCTGGCTCCCAAGAGACACTTGGGCCCTTCTTCCAGTAGGCCACCCTCAAGATAGCTATCGCACACGCCTTCGATCGCCAAGCGGGCCTGTTTGCCAGTCTCGCCTGGACTGTGCTTCTTGATCATAAAGTGCCTGTACGGGTGGCTTCGCGAATTAGCTTCGCAACCTGTGTGAAATCCAAGAGCCTACGCCAGAGGCTTCGTGAGCCTTTGCCACACATAATGTATCACACACTTGGTGAGTTACAGTATAGTCTAAAGCCAATAGTATTCTATAGTTCAATAAAAGACGCTACTCGCCTGGCTTGTGGTCTTGCGTCAGGATCTCCAATGCCCCCTTCCGGCAGCCCAAGGCACGGCAGTCGCCCAGGTTAGCCACTGTCAGCCGCAGCCCATCCCGAATGGCTAGACAGGCGCACACGCCGATGCCGGAGGACAGGACGCACTCCCCGTCATCCACGTTCTCTTGCTTATGCAGATGCTTGAGAAGAGCCATGCCGGCCTTCTGGAAGGCCTCTTTAATACGATCCTTAACATCTCAGCTCTTTTCTCGACCAAGGCACGGGCAAATGGGTCCCATGACTGGGTCGGTCTGAAACTCCAATTCAATGTCTCACGTGTATCCATGGCGCCTGGACCCCCGAATTGATGTGATCATGAGAAAAACTTTGGTGAGAGAGTGAAGGAATATACAATGATTTATGATAATAAGCCCATGTGTTTCTTGGACGTTTCTTGAGCAATGCGCTCCGGAATGGATCTTGCTTGAACTGAGGCAGTGTCAATCCACTCACTACGCTTCTCAGGCATGGACTGGAATGAGCTCCCGCTCTCCATCTGCACTATGAAACTCCAGAAACGAGTCCTCGAGCAACACAGGCACGATGGTAATGATGGTAGATCAATTTTGGGGTTCTCAATGGACGGACGGACCTCTATCTCTACCTAAGAAGCCTCCTCTCTGAGCTGCTTGCAAAAGACCTCTGTGTTTTATTAGATTCCGAACTTGCAGTTCGTCTTGAAGCTTGAACTCGGTCTTGCTTTGATTTGCTTTTGCCTCCATGATGTCCATTCTTCTCGCATGCCCATGTTGACCAAATGAATGCACAAAACGGCAATCATGGAGGTGGCTCAAACAGTTTTGGCCAAAACACTTATTGTTATTATTATTATCATTATTATGTGTTTTCCTTCTTCTTCCTTTTTCTTCTTTCTTCTTCTAGCGAGAGCAAAGCCCCATGCATCCCCGTGCAACATGCTGAATATGCATGAATATGCTGAAGATACTCAGCGCACCGGGCTCCGAACTGCCCAGCTGGGCAGAAAGCAGCAAGCGCAGCAAACCCTGGCATGTGTGATGTCACATCAGGTCCAGCTGTTCATCTAAAATAGTTAATATTCTATCAACGGAACGCGACTCTTCAACTCTTCCAAAGTTTGGATAGATTTGGTATGACGACTTGTCTGCACAGAAACACAAGGTTGCACAAACCTGTCTCAAAAAGGCACTTGCAAACATGCTGGGAAGACAAAGCCAGGGTAGCGCGAAGCATCGCGGGCTTGTTTTGCACAGACCCGGTTGCTTATGCGTGGTGGATTCACTCTTCTTGAGAAGGCGGCTTCATGTCTACAATATCACTGCCTCTTTAAGGACTTTATGGTGTCGAGATGAGCTTGATATCAAATGGTATATATGATTCCTGCAACATGGCATGAGACATGGGCTTGGCTGCGATCCACTGCAGGCAAATATGTTCCAAGTCTTGACGTTCCGAGGGTCATAGTAGACAAGAGATCTGGTTGATATGCGATAAACTGGATACATGGAACTAAACATATTTGACCAAACACTCCGACCTCGCCAGATTGTGGTCAAAGTAGCTTGACTGGCATGGACGTCTTGGGTACTGTAAATGGGCATGACAATGGATCTCATGAGATCATCTCATGTCGGCTGGCAGTTTAGGGCAGCGAAGTCACCACATCCGAAAAGTGCGTGCACCAAGCGACATTAAGCTCGTGAAATGCTTGAGCACCTTGAGTAGCTACTCACCCAATAAATCACAGCTACTAAACTCAGTGGAAGCCTTAACTTCCACCAGTGAGGCAGCAAATAAATGAGAACCTCGAGTGGAGCTCCTCATGTGGAGCTCCAGCTGGACACAAGCAAGCAATGAATGTTTAAGGATCCATGTCATATCTATGATCTATGTCACAACCAAACTGGAGGTTCGACCTTGGTAGTTGGTAGTTGACAGGTGTTGGCTTTGCCAAAGCCTGCAGATGTGTGAGACTTCGGGTAGTGGTGGAAGCAGTAAGAACCATTGCCAAAAGTTCTTGTCGTTCAAGGAGCATTCTCGAGTCAAAACACACATGTTATTCTTGTTGTGTGATTGTTTTCTTCCACCGCTTTGACCGGATTCTTTCAGCAGAAGCTGAGAACGACATATTCTGGTGACACTCTGTGGCTGAAAAAGCCCAGCCAACCTGGATGCTGTCACAGGGGTGTCACAATCGCCGCACGAAGGTGAAATCTAACATTGGGAAGCAACCAACGATGGAATGAAAGCTGTTGCACTTCAGTGGTGTCATGGAGAGTCTCAAAAAACCGTTATATATATATATATAAACATCATGAATTCATTCATTAAACATTGCAGTAACACAAACAAATGCGCCGGAAAACCCTCTCACCCAACATGGGACCTTGAACTTCCAGCAATGCTTATGCGGGCTTCACCTGGCAAGCATCAGGCGTCAGCTGCAATTTTCATGTTGTCGTTCCTTCTTTGTATGCCCTTGTAGGCCTTTCTTTCTTCCTTCCTGTCCTTTTTGGCTGTCCAATAGTCCAATCCAATCTGTCCCACCACCAGGACATGGGATATTGGAGCGACACAAACCGTGACACCCACAGGAATGTGCTATGAATGGGACGTTAGTGTCGATGAGACTTAGAGAATCCATCCACTAGGTTGATTTGGGTTGCTCATTTTCTACGCCAAAAAAGAATGCTGCTGCAGCACTGGAACACAAAACACGTTCGTTTTGACAAAGGTGTGCGTGTCGGCTGGGCTGCGCGACTAGAAATTGTGGCGTTAACTGTGTTGAAAGTTTGATGCATGCAAGCGTGCATTCCCTTGCGGCGACATGTGGCGGCGACGAGAAAAATCCAAGTTCACACAACCTTTGGAGTAACGTTCGAGCTTTTTACGAGAACCTTCATAACAAAAAACGTGGAGGGAAAGTGTGCTTCGGGCAGTGGCCTACGACATTCAGAAAGCTCGGAGGACTTGCAATAACTGAAAGCTTTGGATGGTGACCTTCGGCAAACCGAAGGCTCGGAGGGCCCTGCATACAGCGTGCCGACTGCACGGTGGCGATGAATGGATTTTTCTGCGCTCGAGTTGTGTGCTCGTGTTCTGGCAGCGTTCTGTAGTTTGCACAGTTTGCAATGCCCACAGGAGCCCGATCAAAGAGTCTGCATCAAAAACACCGATGGTTAAAAGGCTCATGTCAAGAGACTCATGGACATCGATGCACCTCTAAACTCATGCCTCATGCAAATTGCTTAGCATTGCTTTGCCGAAACTGCTTTTCCGGCAGCCACTTGTCAATCTGCATGAACCTTCACATCACCCTTCAACTCCCAACAGACCTGCTCCTCCAAACACTTTATCTCCTGGCGTGCTTTCTCAACCTCCAGGCATGCAAACACGTGGAAGCAGCTGGTACAAAAACTGGCCAAACGCAAACAGCCGGCCTCTTCACGAAGCGTGAGGTTGAGGGACTTCAGGTTGGCCTGCTAGGCCAGTTCTTGAAAAGCTAAGCAGCCATATACCCCGTATCTTGCTGGTAGACCTGTTGGGGTCGCGTAATTACAAAATCTAAAATCCCAAAAAAACCATGGCCTAGGACATGGCCTTACTACTAGGAGCAAGAAGCTACTAATAACAAAGGGCATCGCTACCAACATCTGACGTTTCCCACTTTCTCCCGACTGTCCGAGGGTCTTCTATCGGTTTGCGTCATTGTTTCTGGCGCCTTGGACTGTGCCATTTTGACCTCAGTCTCTGACGCTGGTAAATTCATGTATTCCTTCCAAAGTGATGTCAGTTACACAGCCATGAGACCTTTTAGCCTTTTGGCCAAGTGATTACACCTTCGTGACATCGGTCCATGGTCCATGGCTCCATGACCACATCCTGGGCGAGCAGCTGCTTGAGCCAGCCGGCATGCATCGACTTCCTCTCACAGGAGTCTTTGTGCTCTGCACAAGCAAACGCCTATCAGTGGATGATCTAGCCAAATTATACATATTAGAGTCCTTTTTTGTTTATATAAGCCCGGGGAGGGGGGGTAGGCCGAGAAGAGGGAGGTAGTAGCAAGGTAAGTAGCTAGTAGAAGCAAACGGTAGCTAGTAGCTCAAGTAGCTACTACACACATTGGACGCAGGATAGCTCACGCTTCTTCAAGGAAGCTCCCCCCAGCTGCTTCGGCTCACAGCTGGGCAGCTCACGCCCACTCGCGAGGGCCGGGGCTCAGCCGCTCACCGCACGTGTGAGGGTTGAGCGTCCACAGACCAGGACCTCACCAGGTCGTGGATCGCCATGGATACTAAGGTGACGACGAGAACCGAAGGGGAAAGGTCGCAAGCAGGCTTTATGACCTGGTCTGGAGGGAAACTCAGGCAGAAGATAGAATGGTTCAATTTGCACGCGCATGCAGACATGCTTTTCTCCTGGCCATTACGGAGTCTCCAAGTCGTGCTGATGACCTTTTGCGTAGAGCCACTGGCCGCCCACTGCACGTCTATGACATCCATGAGGTCTTCTTCATTGCTGATGAATGGCTTGAGATGAGGCTCAACATCTACCGAACTCACCCAGGTTGGGCCACGAGTGATGAGATTGAGTTTGCCATGAGCTTCTTCATGCCTGAGTCATTCTGTCCTCCGGTCCTGCACCATGATCTCTCGCTGATCGCTGCAGGAGTCAAAGTTCCCTGTGAAGAGGTCCAGCGATTTGTGGCCCTTCGTGAGGGCCACTGGATTGGTGTTGAAGTGGTGTGCAATGCAGAGGAGCACACATGTCGGGCGGTTTTCCTTCAGGTTCCTCCAAGAAACCAACAGTTCTGGCACGACTTTGCCATAGACTACATTGTCCCATTTGGATTCCGACCGATCATCATCATTGACACCAACCGTACCAGACCAGGAATGTGTGGATGGGAGCTTCTTCACAGGTGGATCATTGTTGACCTCCATCTTCCGGATGCTTTCCACATTCCAAATCCGAAAAGACAGCTTATTGACCAGGTGATTGCTGAGTCTGATCAGGCTTGGAGAACTGTTGGGGCCCCACCCATGCTGAGAACTTTTGCTGAGAACATTCGAAGGCTTTTCCTTCTCGTCGGAGGAGTTCATGGCCTTCAGCCGTGCTCTGCTGTGTCGCTTGGAGGAATGGAGGGCCAAGCTAGTACTGACTCCCCCATGCAAGCGGTTGATCCGTGACAAATTGATGATCCATGGAAAGCCAAGAAGAAGGCAGTTAAACAAAGGAAATGGGAGGACTTACAACTCCAGACAGATCACCCCTTCGTGGCCAAGGACAAGACGCCTGTTCCCTTTGTCCAGAAGCAACAGCTGTCTATGAACCGTGGAGGTATTGCGTTTGTCTCCAAAGGCAACATCCAACAGGCCAAGGAGCTTACACCCAAGGAGCCTTGCTGCTTCTGCCCATGATTGATCCAACAGATCCACTGGCCAAGCTGCCAAATCTCACTGGACCTTTTGAAGTGATCGTCTTTGACCCGGCCATGAACCAGGAGTACAAACGGCAAGTACACCTCCTGGTAATCACCCCCGATGTCCAATTTGCGTTACCTACACCGTCAATCACGTTGACATTGGCCGCAGTGTGTGAGATCGTGCTGGAATGTGATGCCAGGCTGGTCACCAAGGATGTCTTCAATGCCTTCTATGACAACCCTTTGGCCAAATTCAGAGCACAGCTCAAAGAGGTATGCTCCGACCCGATCTGGGGGCATGCAGCCATCTACGGCTATCGGACTGTGCAGGAGCGCAACAAAGAAAAGACTGACCTCGTGCATCAGTGCCTCTTGAAGGTTCAGCAGAAGCATCGTATCCCGCTGCTGTCAGCCAGTGGTCATGGAGATCTTGTAGTCAGGGACTTTGTTGCAAAAGGTGATCAAGTGCAGGACTTGTCGATCATCCCACGTTTCTGGCCGATTGACCGATCCAATAAAGCTGACCTCATTAAGGCCGCCTCCACTATTGCTGGGTACAGAGGTATTGCAGTCACCAAACGCCACAGATGCGCTGGCAACGGCCCGTGACCTCCTGCTGCCTCAGGATGACAGGATTTGCCCTATCAACAAAGCTATGGTCCCCAAAGTCAACATGGACAGTCTGGGATGGCCATCCGAGATCCTTGCCAAAGACATCGTGTCAGCCGTTCACCAGGCAACGAAGGCTCCTTGCATCCCGACACGATCCTTCAGGCGTGCAGGTGTCTGTGCTTGGACACTCTCATTTGAGAAGGTGCCCACAGTTTCAAAGTTCTCTGTAAGAGTGAATGAGAAGACCTTTGAGATCCTCCTCACGCCAGTTTCCTACCGAGCCCCACCGAAAGGCAAGGGCAAAGGGAAAGCGAAAGCAGGTGGTGTTGGGTCCGCTGACAGTGGGGCTGGCAAGGGTTTCGTCTCCAAGGAGATTCATACCGAGCTTTGATTGGCTCGAAGAGCAAGTTGGCCGCCTTGAACAGAAACACGAGACCCTCAGCGAGAAGGTTGTGGTTTGGGCAAGTGGGAGACCAGTTGAGACAGATTCTCCAATGCGTGCAGCCACGACACCGTGAGCATGGTGACACACCGCCCCCGGTCAAGCACCACCGGGCGGCCTGACTTCCGTCTACACAATGGTATAGGAGAGAAGGGGGTATGGCCGTGTTTGACCATGCTCCCCTTCCTATGGGGTTGATCTTTGCGCAGATCGCGTACTACAGTGCTGGCTTTTTCAATGTTTTGTGGTCTTTTGCTGATTTGCCTCTCCGGATCAGTTGGCAGAGGGCTACTCATTGGACGCTGGTTTTTCTATGGGTTTTTCTCTGTGGGCTCACCCACTATGCAGCCTCATGCAGGGGTATGTGTGAGCAATGCTTTCCTATGCGCCGTCTCTTGGCCTCCGGGGCCTTTCGCCTTTTCTGTATTTGGGGTGATGCTCTTCATCACTGCAGAGGTGGCGATGTCAGTTTCTTGCATGTTATATCATCTTTGGCGATGTCGTACTCCCACCACCTGGTGAAGGAAGGGACCTCTCCGCCGACTGTTGATGTTCGAATTCGGAATATTGTGATGATTCCATCGAAGCAGGCCTTGCCAAGGGTTCGACAATTTTGTCTCCACCTTCTCTGCCTCCTCGACTTTGCTTGTGGTGTTGGATTGTGTGCTGTGCAGTTGACCCTACTTATGAGTTCGATATGACACTGGGCTATCCAGGTGAGGGACCGCGTTGGGATGTGATTTCAGCCAATATCGACTCTCTTGCTACGAATGACAATTGTCTCCACTGGGAGGCTGATGTGCTTGCACTTCAAGAAGCTCGGGTTGCCGAGTCCAACCTTGTTGAATCTCAACGGAAGGCTGCCCTCTGCCACCTTCAACTCTTTTGCTCCCAACCGCTGCAAAAAACCAGAGCAAGCAACGGTACGTACAGAATCCCCTCAGGGGGCACAGCCACACTGGGACAGAAAGAGTTCACGCAACTCTTTGATGATCAAGCAGACCAATCTGGGCAATGGACCGTGCTTCGATCCACAACTCGGGTCACAGCTACGTGGCACCAGGTGGCTGAAGGTGTTAAACTGCTTGCATTCAACTTCTACGCCGTCGCCAATGCGGCCTCCGAAAGGGCTAAGTTTGCCCGGAACAATGAGCTCCTCAACTCCATCCTTGAGGTGGCAGCGCAATTTGGCGACGTGCCCATTGTGGTCGCAGGTGACTTTCAGATGACTACCCTGCGGTGCAGTTGGCTTTAGACCACTGGGGCTGGGCAGACCCCCTTCTGCAAACTGATACCGATGGTGATGTGATTCGTCCTAGCACCTTCTTTCAGAGTGTTGCGACTGGGAACAGTGATGGGCAGTCCTCCATCGATGGCATCCTCATGAATCGTACCGCATTGTCAGCACTCCTTCACATTGAAGTGCTCGACCACCAGGACCGCCAGCATAGGCCGGTTAAAGCAACCTTCATGTGGGACAAACTTTTGCAGTCAGGCACCATCATGCAGCGGCCAGCTGTCTTGAACTTGGACAATATCCAACATGCTGACCCTACCGACCCTGGCTGTCCGGTTAATTCCTTCAGTGAACAGCTTTGGCACCACTATGCACAGCAATTTGATCTGGCAGCCGATGCTGATACCAAATGGGCTATCTACAATGAATACGCTGCTAAATTGTTGGTGCTCAATGGTGCTGTGTGGGGTAAGGGTTCGCGGAGTCGTGGTGCCCATCCGAAGTTCGTCAAGGTACAGGCCTCTGCTTCCCAGGAGGCCAATGGGAATCTGGCTTCGCCGCACCTCCTCTCGTTGCAATCGATTGTAAGATCCTTGAGAGAGCTTGAAACTCGCTTCAACAGAGCTGCATCGGGGCCGGGTGACCTGCGCACCTTTCGCAATACACAGCATCACTAAGGATCCGAGAAGCCACTTTTAAAAATAGCTTCTGGTGGAAGCTAAGATTTTAGGCTGGCAGCCATGGAAAGTGGCTTCTGGGTTTTGAACTCTAGAAGCTACACAAAGTGGCTTCTGCAAATCAGCATGTGCATCTTTTTCCTTGGCACTACTGGGTGATACAAGGTGAAACATATTGTACCTATGGTTGCATGGCCTTCTTTCAGGCTGAAGCTGGACATCGGATTTGGGCCTTCTTCAGGCTGAGCTGGGCAAGTTGACACTCAGAGGGGGTGTGTCATTCATGAAACAAAGGAGGATTTTCTCTGCTTCACTGCTTGCATTTCTCTTCCCACCCCTTCTGAGTGCCCACTGCTGCATGGAGGATGCAAATGTTTCATCCCTATAATTCCAGAAATCCTTAGGGTTGTGGCCTTCCCAGGCTAAATCAAAAATATGCTCAGCCAAGTGCCACTTAGGCTTGGCATGCCAGGAACAAACATCATTTTCATCTTCTCTTTGAATGTGAGATTCCAATGCCATGTACTGGCTC